GTTTGTTTATTTCCCTTTCGAATTGTGTTGAAGCATTTGATTTCCAAGAACTGAATTTCATGGAAATAAGTCGATAACGGTACAAAATATAAAAATATGAATGAGCATCACTGTAACAAAGAACTAAACAACATACTCATTCAGCAATGAACTGTGTAAGTTCCCCAATTTCGTTATAAGCAGTTTTCAGTTCTTGGAAATCAATTGTTTCAAAACAATTTGGAAGTGGAACGAACAATCGCTATCACGTTATGGACTCATTCACTGTTTCTATCAGCCTTAATTCTCTTTCAAAGCCGTCAAATAGAATATTCAGGAAGTGGTGTGACCCACACGGAGACGGTTATGTATATATGTTGTAATTTTGGAGGAAAGATTTGATTTGGTTCGTGTACATGTACATTATGCTTTCATATCACTCCGTATCACGGTCTTCACTATAAATAGGCATTGTAGCATGCATCGTCACATCATTTTATAGTCGGTCGTCTAATGAGAATAACGTTCAGTTCAATTCTTATTCGAAATGTGCAAGTTTTGGATATGTTCATTCATTCTCAGTGTTGGAGTGGTCGGTATTCTGAGTGATAGTGTAATAGATTTCGCATCGAACACGTTGGAATTCATTGATCAAGTTCAGAGTAAATTAAAGTTAACAAACGATCCGAACATAATATTAGTGGTGGGCAATACGGGCAGTGGAAAGTCCACCTTGGTTCATTATGTGGCCGGTGATTTCAGTAAAATGATTTCAAAAGAATCAAACAATCCGAATTCTATCAATTACGTAATTGAAGACGGATTAGATGTGCAAAGCGGCGTCATTACATCGGCAACGGAATCGCGAACATTTATACCGGAGTTGGTCGTCGATGAAGAACAATATGCCTGGTACGACTGCCCTGGTTATCACGACACACGCAACGAAACCATGGAAATTGCGAACACATTTTTGATCAGAAGTGTTATCGAGAGTGCATCTAGGGTTAAAATAGTGCTGGTCGTCGATTATGATTCAGTTACCGAAAGCAACAGTCGCAGTGACTTCAATCAATTGCTCTCACGCACAGCACAATTGCTCAAAAGAGTGGACAAGTTTGAAAACAGCATATCGCTAGTGGTGACAAAAGCACCGCCACGAGGAAAAAGATATGTCGAAATATTTGAGAGTAGTGTGAGGAATACATCAGCCCAATTTATCAGTGATTATCGTAAGGTTTTACTGAGAAGCGGAATAAACGGAAAGAAAATTCTATTGATCGATGCTTTGTTAAAAACGAAGCCAAACGAAGATTATCCGAGAATATCGGTATTTTGGCGTCCAGATGATGTCGGTGCATTTGATAAACTAGAAAAACTTTCTTCGGGCCGTCATTTTATTCGCGAATCGATACTTCGACACACCTCTTATACGATCGTTCAACCGGACGATTTCGGCTTTCCATTATCAGCCGAGGCACAGCTACATGTCAGAAGTATGGTAGAGCAGCAGGTTGATAACATTTCTGCAAAGCTTCGTAACGTCACTGATCGACTGCAAGAAGCTTTTGATAAAAAAATCGAATCAGAGGGCAGCTTCCGGGAAATGTTCGATCGTATTGAACTGGGACTATTTCGACTCCAATACCCACGAAGAAGTGAGTCGGTTTCGCTTCGAAATTTAACTGATCGATTTCGGGGAATCATTGAAGGATCTAGTTTGCGATCGATCGATGTTGCGGAACTCACACGAATTGAACGAGACGAGAACAATTTGAATACGTTAGAATCCATTTTGAAGGGTGCGGCAGTGAATAGTAGTGAAGCATTAGAGGTGAATCACTCGGTGAAGATCGATTACAGATCGTTTTTGGCTAAGATCAAAGGCTTCTTCAGTAAACGCGAAACCGAAATACAAGGTGTTCTTATGAACGAGGCGCAACAGATAATCCAAAATGTCAACGAAGACCTGAAGAACATTGACACAGGTTTATTAACAGAAATAAACGGACGTTTGGAACAAACGCGAGGATTTCATGATAAATTACGATTGCTTCAGCTAGGAATAAGGTCGATTGCATCGAGTACGGTGAGGACATTTGAACAAAGAAAGAAGCAGTTCTCGGGTTTGATTCGCGTACTCAACATAACGGCAGTTAGTGCAAATGACCTAAATCGAATCGAGCAACATACATTGCACTTAAAAGCGTTGAAATCAATGTCAAAAAAAGACATCATTGTGCCAGTTGGTGATTGGATTGTAAATTCATCGAACACAATTAACTGTTTATCGACGGAATATGCTTGGTATTCATTTTTGCTACAAGTTTATGGTTTCTTGGCGAGTTATGACGTGCAAAAAATGTCAACGCCTACAATGTGGCCAATTTATCGGATTGGGGAACGCCGAATAGGCTACAAGGCCTTTTGGCTACATCTGACAATTTTAACGAATTGTGTAGACTGCTTAAAACTACATTGCAGTTTGAATCAACACCATTGCGATTGAATGATCTCAATCAAATCATAAAGACTACCATAAAATCACCACCGAATCACAACTGCACTGATGAAGTGATGACGATTGAAGGAAATTTGGTGAGAAGTTCAAATATCCAATTGTCGAAATGTCCATCGATAAAGACTTTGAAGCGATTGAATGTGTTCGTCGTCGACCGGTTCTATGTTGATAGCGATTTGAATTTGAATGGATTTGAAAATGTAGAGTTGCACATTTTAGCGAACAGATGGACAATCGTACAGCCGACAACATTCCGTTTGAATGGATTCAATGGAACCACACAGACAACACCACCAACGACGAATGGAACAGCAGGCAAACCAGGCGATCCGGGAATGAACTCGGGTAACTTTTTCGGTGCGGCAAATGAAGTGGTGAATGGTGGGTCATTGACGGTGGAGTTGATTGGTGGTAACGGTGGCGATGGACAAGATGGAACAGGCAACCAAGACGTTGAAGTTATACAAAAAAAAGAAGCTTCTGATGATCCCGGATATTACAAGATTTATCCAAGCAATTGTTGGACAAAATCTGTTAAGTTCGAAAGTGGATCGTATGTGAAAGAGTTTGACGGATGGAATGCAGCACTTATGAATTCAACGCTGTCTCACCTTCTTGGGAAAGAGATCAAATTTACACAAAAAGTATTTTCTGGCTATTGTTGTGGTGTGACTGGCACAGGGGGCTCTGGTAAGTTGAAAATTTACCATAAAACTCATGCAATTAGACTGATGATAATGAACTATCATTTCACAGGTGGCCGCGGTGGTGAGTCTGGTTACTATGAATTCATTCACACCGGCAACAACACAGCTAATCTTCCAAAAAAGATACGAAGGAAGGGAACAAATGGCAGAAAGGGACAAAATGGTAGGATATGTAAAACTACGGGACTTATTATTCGTATGACCGGCATATACAAGAGATTCAATGAAAGAGGAGGAATGATATATAGCAGACCAAAAAGATCCAACGAATCAATCGAAGATCCCCACTGCCCTGATAAATATGCAAGCAGCACAGAGATAGTCCCAAATCCACCCGCAGATGTGCATGTGGCACACACAATAATCGAATATAAACGATTTTTGCGTGAAAATATGGGCAACGCAATGCTTTTTCAAATTATACAAAAGACTAACGATGCAATCTTGCCTAATTGGAAAATTTAAAAAAAAATTATAAATGATTGAATTGCGTTGCACTGTGTGGGTTTCGAATAACACGAAGCAGTAATGACTCAAATGTTTAATCATATCTCTACAACTATCTAGACGATCTTGGGAAAAACTAATTACCACCTAATTATTTAATCAACTCTTGTTTTCTGTGAAAAAATTATATACATACAAACTTTCATATTTTTTTCACAAAATTGACCATATTTGTATGGGAGGTACCCGTAAATTACTTTCGATTGGCTTCAAAAATCCAGGGATTGAGTTTTTTGGTGAAAAAATAAGATACAGAAAGTTTCGTGACGTTTGGAATATCACAAATGGGTTTTTTCTCCATCAAATCTCGTTTACCAATCTAAATCTTGCGCTGGCCTACAATTCTTAAAAACATACAAAAGATATGGTTTTAGATAAACTAACTGCCGAAAAACGGGATTTTTCATTACAATTTCATATAAAATGAGGGTTCTCATAAAATCATATTTTTGCATATTCCGACTCAAAAATGGTTCAAAGTGCTTGCTTTTCATTACTGATTTACGTTTTTTTATTGATTTGTTTCGAAATTTCGCGTGAAAATACTTAAATTGCGCATTTAAAGGTTAAATTTCGAGGATATATACAAACATTCAAAATATGCTAAATAATATCAGAATAATACTTCTCGTATCCAGATATATGGTTGCGTTAACAGCAACGGCAGCCGCAATCGTTCCGACGGAACAAGACGAAAGAAGAGCGCGCATTCACATAGAGGGGGAAGTAAAGTGCGCATACACATCGTCGTTAAAATATCACAGTACCCATTGGTTCGTGTTTTAACGACGATGTGTATGCGCTGTATTTCTCCTCTATGTGAATGCCGTTGCTGCTAACGCAACTATATATCTGGATACGAGAAGTATTATTCTGATATTATTTAGCATATTTTGAATGTTTGGATAATACGAAAAATGATACTTTTACCTGTTTGGACCCAAAAATAGTCCGAAGTAGCTATGTTTCATTGCTGATTTGAGTTTCTTTGGTCATTTTTCACTACTTTTGACCCGTTCGTCACATAGATTTGCATGAAAAAGCAAAAAACCAAGTAAAAGTAAATTTTGAAAATTCTCTGCAACCAAATTTTTTCAAATGGCCAGAATTTTCTTATATGGAACCAATTTAGAAAAATCCTTTTGAGGGTTTTCCTGTCTCATGGACCTCCAAACTTCAATACATCCGCTCTGGGTTAGACAACTTCAACTTTTTTTTTCGCACAGTGTAATGAACACGTTCTTTGCGGAATGTAATTTTTTGAGTAGTAACAATGGGAAATAAAGTTTTCTTTTTAAAATTTAATCTTAAGAAGTTTCAGTCTTCTATCTCTTTTTTGTTTTTGTCTCTACAATTGTATTTTTACTAAAACAATTTTTTAGTTGTACTATTGAACAAGACATAATGACACTTGGCCATTGGCCACTGCAGTGGTCATCATGATAAAAAATTAAAGCAAAACAAATTTATGGAATTCACGTGGATTAATTTAGTGTTGAAAGAAAAGGTAGCAGAAAGAATACGTCAACTAACCTCCAAATGAATTCATTTTTTTCTTTTTATCTTCTAATTTGATATATTGTTACTTTTATTCTCACAATATGACCCGAATAAATGTTGATCGAAACATTGAATTTGTGTATTTATTACAAAAAGATTAAAATCTAAAAAAAAAATTGGATGCTTGTAGTCAAAGATTTGCGTGCAGCAGCTCTAGTCACTGTCACTTTCCGATTGGAAATCATTGACATCGATGGAGAATTTGTATTCTTGATCGCAGCCCAAGTACGAGTCGCTCATGAAGTAAAGTGTGTACTCGTGATGTCCAGGGCTCGGTGCAATGAAATCCAATTTCACTTTGGCCTTTTGTTGCAGCGTCAATCGTTTGATGGACAGTAACGAATTTGAACGTGGATCTCCAACCACAACCCACCAACCTTCTTCGCGTTTCTGAAATGAGAGAAAATGGAAAATTAGAAACAAATGAACAAGTGATTTTCTTTCTTGAATTAATACCTGTGGATAGAACGGTGCAATGACTGGTCCAGTAACTTCATCCTCTCGTTCAAGATGAACGGCAATGTTAACCGTCTGTCCGGATTGCAAGCGATCTTTGTCAGCCACTTCGTAGTTCATCTCAATGTTTGGATACCGGTTGCAGAATCTGGCCACATCAGCCATTTGACTTTCGTCCAATTGCAACAATTGAATACGATCGTCATCTTCCAATTCCAAGATATCAAAGACCGTTTCGATCTCCTGGTCTTTGCAGCGCTTGATGATGTCAGCAGTAAAGTGTGGCAATTGCTTGAGATATGAATCTTTGCTCCACATTGCTTGGGTCACCATCTGGGCGAGCTCCATCGCTGCAACAGCCGGTGATAGCCATCCATTTGAACTGAGCACATCGACACAAGCTTGAATCAATCGAATTGATTTGCTAAGGATTTGTTCGGTGTCACCTTGCAATTCTGGACCAAGCTGAATACGCGACAGATGAGCTTGTAGCAAAAGATTGGTTTTGATGTGTGGATCATTGTATCTGGAAGAAAAAGATAAGTGGATTTGGTTAGAGAACGATTATATACCACTAACATATGGGTACAATTGATTGAATCAATTGAAAATTATCAAATCAAAGTTCAAAACCAAACCGAAACCCAAAAATGACTAAAAGAAATCACTCACTTTGGTGATGCACCATTCGGACCGGACAATTTGTTCGGCAACCGTTGAGCCAAGCTGCGAAGGATGTTCTCTTCGTGATGTCGCACAACAACGTCTTCATATTCAGCAGCCGACGAAATGATCTCGAGCAAACCTCTGATTTTCGTTTTGCTATTCAACGACAAGCTGAACAATTCAATTGTGGTGTAGTTGATGTAGTAGTATGCCGCAATCATGCCCAAGTTTAATGGTAATGTGTCCATTCCATCTTCAATACTGATACATTTCGATTGTTCCAAGTCGTTGAGTGTGTTCTCCACCAATTCGGACAGATGATCCGATAAATGTCTGCAGAAAAAAGAAAATTGATTATGAAAAATTTGCAATTCCATTTGAGAAAAAAATCGTTTCAATTCAAAAAGTTCAATTCTTCTTTCGAATCGATGATTCAATTGAATAGTTAATTATGTAGGGGACTTTGTAGGTTTGGTAACGCTTTTTGTGAAAGGAAAATGTTTCTCACCTGTGTGTAACGCCTTGCAAATTGTAATAATTCGGGTTTTGTGTGAGACGTCGATACAGGAATGTCCATGTCAGGTAGTCGACAGCGTCTTGCTTGTTTTCGATGGTCTTCGTGACGATCTCTGCATTAAAATGATCGTGCATTCGATGATCCAAATGACTTTCAATGGGTAGACTTTCGCTTAAGAATTTCTTGAAGAAATCTTTCTTCGATGTTTGACACATCAAAACACATTTGGCATCATGGTCTTCAATTGGCCGATTGGCGCGTCCAATCATCTGAAGTACATCGGTGACTGGGTAATCTTCGTATGAATGATTCTTACCATTATAGTACTGTGTATCCATGATGATGGTCAAATGAGCCGAAATGCTAATGCCCCAGCTCAGTTCACGTGTAACTACGGCAATTTGAATGGCTCCAGTTTGAAACAATTGTTCAACGATGCGATGATCTGAAGCGGTTAAACCTTCATGAATGTATGCAACACCTTGTGACAATGTCTCTTTCAGCGTTTTATCGGTCATGTGTTCCAAAAATGGTTCAATGTCTGATTCTTCGGCATGGAAGAAGCGATTGGGTTGTGCTTCGGCTGCGGCATATGTTAAAATATCGATGGCTGTTAAACGAGCTTGTTTCCGTGATGACACAAACACAATGACCGGTTTAATGGGACTGTGCTTAACAATGGCATTGTAAACTGGTTTCGACATCGATGCAATACGCGATGCATTATGTGTCATATTGAAGCCTTGCACATGCAACTCAAGTGGAATTGGTCGAACACTTGGATGGAAATTGAATGTGCAGTTTGCATTACAGCCCAACCATTGAGCAACATCACGAGCATCGGCCAATGATGATGACAGAGCCACAATTCGAATTTGACGATCGCTTGATGTGTGAATTTGCGACGAAATATAACGCATACGCGAACAAACAACTTCCAACACGGGACCCTCTTCACCACCGATCAATTGCAGCTCGTCCACGATGAACAGATGTACGTTTTGCACATTCTTTCGCTGTTTCCAACGACGCGATAGAATGTCCCATCGATCAGCCGTTGTGATAATAATTTGACCTTTAGCCAGTAGTTTTAAGTCGGTTCCGGTTTCGCCGGTTAGTTTCACCACTTTAATTCCAAGCAACGAACTGAATTTGGCATGCCAATCGGCAAACACCAAATCGGCTAACGCTTCCTTTGACACCAAATACACGCATCGACCATCCGATTGCTGTGAGAATAGACGTAGCACAGCGAACTCAGCGATGGTTGTCTTGCCGGAACCAGTTGGTGCTCCGACGAAAACATTATCGTCACTGTTGTACACCGCATTGAAGACTTGCGTTTGAATTGGGTTAAATTGTGGGAAATTCACACGTTTATTGTTGTACAATGTTTCGAATTTCGAATTACGGAGCGCCGAAATGGGTAGTGGTTGCAAGTCAAGCAATTCCGTTGGTGGTAGATTTTTCTCGGGTAAAATCAAATGACGGAATGAAATTGGTAGCTGTGTTTCGGCGCCAATCCAACGATCGGACACAATTCGCAAGAAATACTGCGGTGGTAGTGGTTCAAAAACGGGTACAAAAAACTTCACCAAATGTTCATCGCCGGCATATTTTGCTTTGAGCAAAAAGAATTCATGATGCAATATAACTTCTGAGTCAACGTCTTCGATGAGAATCCAAAAACCTTCCGATTGACCGTGCACCTTTTCGTCCCATTGGAAATCAGGTGTTATTGTCAATTCAACACGTAGCGTTGACCGTGTAATCGGCTGAATGTGTGTGGATAGCTCCAATTTTGGGAATTGATGAACAAATTTATGGATTGTCTTACCCAATTTCGGTACACGTACCAATTCACCGATTTCATTTGGTTCCAAATCATACAACCGATCCCATGGGAAGTTTTTCTTTTCGATTTTCTTCACAATCTCTTCGGGCATTTTACGGAATTGTCGCAACGGTGACATCGATTGCCACATTCGACGATCCACCATTTTGCATAGAGTTAAAGTTTTATCGGCCAATTGAGCCCAACCACGATGCAGTACAATCTCATAGATTGCACGCAATAATCGTGATGCGGACTGTGTTACATAGACCATGTCCGACATCAGTGCGAAACCTTCGAGCTTCAGTTGTGATATGTACGCTTGTAATAAGACATTCACTTTGGCCGATGGCTCTTCGATCGATTCTTTGATCGGAATTGGGACGCGTTCCATTAGTTTTTGCAGCTCCAATTTCTCCTCTTCACGTACATTGATGTTTCGGAATTCGCCAGACAATGAAAATACACGGAACAGTTCGATTTCGCTCAACGTTGGCTTCAGCAATTGATTGTATGTCATCATTGTCTCATGTGTGCAGTAGTAATGTGAAGCGATTCGACCGAGTTCAGTAACTTGAAATTGGCCACTCTTTCGATCATATTTAACCAAACCGCTACGATCCAAATGCAACGCAGCTGTATGCACCAAATCCGCACGGAATTGCTCAAGATGTGGATCTTCTTTGAGTCGATCATACGAAACACCGTACAGTGTTGGCTGTTTCAACATTCGCACGTAAAGATATGAATAGCCCAACCAAATCACGGCATCACGAACATTTTGAACAGTTCCCAAGACGATTTCTGCGTTAAGCATGTCGGGCATTTTCGATACCATTTGACTTTCGATTGGAAGTTGTTGATTCAATAGCGATAGATAGTATTGAAGTTCACTGTGGTTCGTAATCAAAATACCTTCTCCTTTTGTATCGTACTGTGGCCGACCGGCTCGACCCAACATTTGTAGCACATCTAATGCTCCTAGCTCAACCCATCGTCCTTTTTCCGGATTGTAGATCTGCGTTCCCTTGATTATGACCTGAGGATAAGAGAAAAAAAATGGTATTTTTTTTAGGGTTGATGTGTCAAGCTCAAAAGAAAACAATGAAAAAGAACTCAACATACCGTGTGAGCTGGAAGATTTACACCCCAAGCCAGCGTGGCCGTTGAGACAAGCACTTGAATGTGTCGATCGGCAAACAAATCTTCGACCAATGTTCGGTCAACACGAGTCATACCAGCATGATGGATAGCGAATCCATATGGTAATAGATCTTTCAATTCATTGTTCTTCACTTGTTCCGCTTCAGATCGTAACACCTCCATACTGGCGGATCCTTCACGCAAGAAGCTTCCCAATGTATCTTTTTCCAAGCACATGTCACGAATGGCTCTAGCTGTTTTGCCCGTTTCTTTTCTCGAATGTACGAAGACCAGTACTTGATTCTTGCCTGCATGCTCCATAATTTTCTCATAAACAATTTCATTCATGACTTGGAATCGTTTTAATGCTTTCTTTTCGGTGACACCAATATACTGTTGCTCCAGAGCAACTGGCCGGAAACTGTTATCAAAGTAAAATAGACCGGTATCCAGGTTAACACGTAAGAATGTGGCTACATCTTGATAATTGGGCAATGTGGCAGACAATCCAACTAAACGCACATCTTCTTGCGTTGTTTCGATATTTCGAATGGTACGAGCAACGAGTGCTTCAAGCACTGGACCTCTTTCATCGTGGAGCAAATGGATTTCGTCAATGATTACCAGTCGAACCAATGAAGTGAATGTTTTTTCGCCTCCCTTCCGCGTAATAATATCCCATTTTTCCGGTGTGCAAACAATAATCTGCGTTGCTGCGATTTGTTCACGTGTCAACTGATGATCTCCAGTCAATTCGGATACGGTTAAATTGTAACTGGCCAAACGGCGTCCGAAATTGCCAACCATTTCTTGTACAAGTGATCGCATCGGTGCGACGTAAATAATTTTGAATTCATCGGTGTTGATGGTTCCATCATCATTGATGTGCTTGCCAATTTCTCGCATCATACAAAGCAAAGCAACATTTGTTTTACCAGCACCGGTTGGGGCACACAACAGCATATTTTCATCACTTTCCAATGCTGAACGCCACAAACGACTTTGGATTCGATTCAATGATTTAAATCCATCAAATACCGGTTGAACGTATTTTGGTAGCTTATCAATTGGCTGCAGTGATTCGTTGTCATCGAATGGTTTTGGCTTTAGTGCTGGCACATGCACTTCTTCATAACCCTTGCGTTGCTTACGGAAACTACCATCGGGCAATTGACAACGTTTATTTGCCATGAAATGGCTGCCTTGTGTAAAGGACAATTCGTCTAACTCGAGCAATTGACGTTGACCAACAACTTGACCGGCACCAGATGCACCACCCTCTTCATTGTCTGCCTTTTGTTTTTGCACTCGTGATGCACCACCTTCCATGTCATCGTCATCATTTTTACCAGTCTCCAATTGACGCAAAATTTTCGCCAAATTTGCATCGGCGCGCATCGTTTCACGCAACTTCTGACGCTCCGACTCACTTTGCGACGATGCCAAAAGTGTGCAGTACAAAATCATTTCACGATTTTTCTTCAGGATTTTGATGAAATCGAAACTGTCGTAGCCGAGCAACAAGACCAATCGACTTTCACACTCACTTTCAGTGCCTGTTTCTTTGAGAATGCTCAACACTTCGTTCGCTTTGGCCTGCGAGATCATGGCATCGTTGTAGTACTTACTCAGGCATCTTTGTAACCAGTATGCATCGATATCGTGCGGGTGCAACGGACGCTCTTTTTTGTGGACTTCATCGTTTGTACCGGTGAGCTGGTGAGGAGAAAAGAAAAAAATGGTTTTGTTTTAGTACAACTTTGTTCAGAATTTTTAAACAAAGTTAAAAAAAAAAGAATGTGAAACTAGAATAAAATCGGCCAATTTTCCTCGACACAATGTTCAACACTTACATTTTCTGCATGCAATGTATTATCAATGCGTGCTTCTTCACCTTCATCTTCCCCATCATCGTCACGAACCTCACCAAAAACATCCTCATCGCTTTCATCTTCCGATTCTTCAAACTGTACATTAATGCCATACGTCTCATCGAGTTGTTCACCTTCGCCGGTGCCGATTGTATTAACCGAGTCCGATCCAAAATCGGTGATTTTCTTGCCCAAATTCACGAGCAATGCGAATCGTTCATCCGCCACTGAGCCCAACAAACTATCAATTTCCCGCTTTCGTTCGCGATCTTTAAGTTTGTCATTTTTAAGCACGGTCAAAATTTCATCGGCTGCACCACACAGAATGTCTCTTGGCTGGTCGCCGAGTGCTTCTTGGATAAAACTCAGCAACACTTCGTATGTTTGACGTGTCTCTTGTGTTTTTGGTCGATAAACAATGCCAACCATCTCATCAATGCCTTCCGACAAAAGAGTGGCGCCTTTCATTCGATCAAAATCATATTGGGCTTCATCACGTTTCTGACGCTTTGCTTTACGTTCCTCTGTCTTTTCCGGCTTTGAACGCTGGTATCGGTCTCCCATTCGGGTTCCATCCAATTTGCCAACCAATGAACAAACTTCACCGGTCGCCTCATCACGACGCGGTCTTTCGATCAATCGAACATCCGCTTGTAGAACTAAATTTGAATTCTGAAAATGAAAAAAACAAAAAAACAACAATCGATTACAAGCCGAACGTTTTCAGTACGTATAACAAACAATGCCCCGAATTTGAGGTTAGGAGCAATTGGTTGTTTGGACACAATTCACTTTTTGTTGGAAAATTTATGGAAAACTCACCGCTTTATATTCATACTGTAACTGACGAGCTGCCGCATCAGCCATGCTTCTGGAATTTTAACACAAATTTCACATAAAACAATCAGATTTTTAGTTTAAGTTTTTTACTTTCTTTTCTGTCGTGTATTCGCTTCACTACGTTATAGTTGATACTATCAAACCAAACTAACATTGACAGGCAGAGCTGTCATTGAAATGGCGATGATGGTTTTTGTCAAGTGTTGACTGATGCACAAGCGCTGTAACATACCTTTTACATCAACACGAGCGAGGTTGAGGTTAGGTTCATGCGAACAAACCAATGACCAATGTATGTTTGGGATTTGAAATGGGCTTTGTTTTTTTTCTCTTTGCAATTTTCATGAGAAATGGTTTTCAAAAATGAACTATGATTTCCATGAAAAAGCTTACCGAATAAGGAAAAACAATGCAAATTTCAAAGAAGAACAATCGAAACAGAGATTTCAATTAATCAACATTTATGGTTCAAAAACCAGATTTTTTTTCGTTAGGAAGAGATTTTTCTTAACAGAATGCGGTTTTTCCTGAAAACCAAGTTCATCACAAATCCTGGAAAAAAGCAGTCAAAATAAAAACAAGTCCATGTCGTATTTTTTGTCAATTTGTACAATTTATTAAAGTTGTTCAACGAATTGAAAACCCCAATGATGTTACAACGTACAAATGAGATTTTTTTTAATTGTTCAACATTGTTGTAATGTTGTTTTTTTTGTTTGGTTGCGAAAAATGAGATAAAAATGCCGAATATGATAATTGATTGTGTATGTCGCCATAGGCGATCCGACCGCCAGACGAGTATTTACACAATCCATTTAACAAATGGGCAAACTTTTATCTCAAACCATTGTAGAAGTGCTGGTTTAATCGAAAAGACCGAAGCCCATGTCGTCATCCTCTTCTTCGGATTCTTCCTTTTTCTCTTCTTTCTTCTCTTCCTTCTTGCTTTCGGCAGCGGCAACTGGGGCTGCAGCAGCGGCGGCGGCGGCAAATTTCGATGGATCCTGTAGAGAAAAAAATAAACAAAGAGAATTAGTTATTTTCGTTGGAATTGCGGCTTTTTTCTTCGGATTTTTTTTTGGGGGGGTTAAAGTCAAAATGAAGTGGGAGAAAAGTCAGGATGATGTCAACTGAGGTCAAAATGAAGTTAAAAGGAAAAAAAAGAAAGATTCAAAACAAGAAAAAAAGAAGAAAAAGTGAAAAAAATGAATGAAAGATAGAAAAATTCCTAACACTTTTTCAAAAACCCATCAATCGAACTGAACTAAAAAAGAGTCATCCAAAAATGATCAAAAAAAAAGTTGAACCAAAAAGCCGATGCTTACCTTGATGTACTCCTTGATGGTGGTGGCTTGTTCGAATTCGACATCGGTGGTGGCGGCCAAAGCGAGCAAGTTCTTGAAACCGTTGGCAATGCTGTGTGGTGCCGATGCAATGGTTGGGTATCCAATTTGCAATGAAACGGCAGCCAAATTAGCAACACCAGCCAAGAATTTGGCACGAAGATCTTCTGGTTTGATGTCCAAAATATCGGGTGAGAAAATTGAACCGGAATCGTACACTTGTTGAATGGCCAAACCGTACGAGAATGGTGAAATATTCAACATGTTCAACAAAGTGGCTTCTGAAGCACCGACTTTGTCGCCTGGCTTCAAGATTGGCACATCGTTGATAATTTCAATTGTACCCTTTGAAATTTTGGTTGGGATTGACAAAGCTTGGAAGAAAGATGTCTTTTCTGGACCCAAACCGGTGTTTTGAGCTGGAATGATGACATCCAATGGTGCAATAGCACCAGCACGGGCTGGAGCACGAACTTTGCTTTCGGTCAATTTTTCACGTACCTCACCCAAATCACCCTTGGTGAACACGAAACCAACGTTGCCCTTGATGTGTGGCAAAATCTTTTCCAATTGGCCATTGTTCTCCAAATGACCACGGATGGCTTTACGCATCATGGTGTTTTTACCGCACAATACGACGGCCAAACCACGCAATGATGTACGAATGCTTTGCATTTGACGCGAACCAACATTGTCGCATCCGACGATGAAACATTTTGGATATTCATCCAAAAGTTGCTGCATGAAACGAAAAACAAATTAGTTTCATTCAAAGGGAATTTATGGACTGGATTCATATGCTTCGGTGAAGAAACAATAGAAAATTGTTCGAAATACTTACAACAACTTTAACGAAATAGTTAGCTTTCCAGGCTGCCTTGTTCTCCCTACCCATTTTGAATCGTGTAAGGACTTCCTTCGAAATTTAAGAACTGTAACAAAATGCAATCAACAACATTAGCAATAAATTCGATGGAATATCATCAATTTTTGCAAAATTATTATCCATTTCATAGATAAAAACCACATTTTCTATAGATTTTTGTGCAAAATCGCAAAGAATGCTCATTGAACCGAACCACACACACACACACACACACATTCTAACCTCAAATAATTTGATACATTTCGCTTGTGGCGATAATCATGGAATTTTACGAAAATTCCACAAAATAAATAGCAAATTCAATTTTATCGCATATTTTTCATCTGAATTAATAAGATTTAACTCGATTCATCGATGGATGATTGAAATGAAATCAAATTATTTTCGGTTTTTCTTCACACATAAACACGAACTCACCAAGTGCAAAGTAATACACAGTAAAAAGTCACGGACTTAAATGGACGAGCTGTCATGTGGTTTGCGCTTATATAGCCTCGTATGGGTGCGTTTACACAGCCGTATGAACCGTACATTCTGTCTAAACCGATTGAATCGAATTGAGCGAATCAAATGAAAGAAGAAAGAGAGGAATTTATTTTTAATAACCAAAATTTTCTTCATGAATTTTTTGGCGGAAAAAAATGCCAAAATGAATTTTTCAAAATTCAAAAAAAAAAAAATGTTTTTTACAGTTGACAAATGAAAATGTGTGAATCATCATCAGAAAGCGGTTGAAAAAAAAACGCAAAATTCCGATACCGTGAGCTGTCAACGTGTGGCCAACTTCATTGCAATTGTTGCGTCAAAGTCTTGCAGAACAATATTATTTTGGTGTTGTGTGTATCTCATTTTTCACATTTGCAAATAGAAAAAAAAATTCTATATTGTTCGAGGCTGACGAAGCGGAATAAAGAAGAAAAGAGTTGCGATCAAAACGAACGAATTTTGCGGTGCACTCTTTTTATTTCGATTATTGAAATCAGGCCAATTTTATTGTTTTGGGCAAAGATTAGGAATTAAGTGTTCAGAAAAAATGGTAAGTGAATTTGCACTACATGAAATGTATAACCAGGAAATAATTAGAAAGGATTGCACCAAAAAAAGTGATTAGTAATCATAAACTAGAGATGAGAAATTTGGTCAAAATATTACACATTAGCCGATGTTGACTTTTTTTTAATCAGTCAATGGACTAAATATTTGTCAATATTTTTTTTCTACTCCATTTCTCATTCGGTGTGACTAATTCATTTTGTTGTTGTTGTTGGTGAAATTTTTGCAGAACAAGCTGAAATCATCGCAGCGTGATAAGGTGAAGAAGTTTATGGCAATAACGCAAACGGGCGAACAAACGGCCATTTTTTGTTTGCAAAACAACGAATGGAAGTTGGATCAGGTGAGTGTTTCTCTCGATTGTAACAGTAAATCTTCACTGAATTCCATAATTAATTATATGTACAAAATTGTCATCCAGGCTAGTGATAACTACTTTCAACATCCGCAAACATACTACCGGGATTTGGACCATAAAAAGATCGAACAATTGTTTCGACGGTATGAAGACCCAAATGATGCGACAAAAATGAACATGGACGGTGTATGCCGTTTTTTGGATGATTTACGACTTGATCCATCGTCAAAATCGGTGTTGATTATTGCGTGGAAATTCCGAGCCGAAACACAATGCGAATTTACACGCACCGAATTTGTTAATGGTTTTAATGATTTAGCCGTAGATAGTATAGATAGCTTAAGAGCAAAATTACCGTCACTAGAAACTGAATTACGGGATTCGAACAAATTCAAGGATTTCTATCAATTTACGTTTAGCTATGCGAAAGAGGACACACAAAAAGGTATCGACTTGGAAATGGCCATCGCCTACTGGAACATTGTACTCAAAGGTAGAATGATTTTTTTGTTTTGCTTTGGTAACTTTTTTGTCAGCATTTTTCTTAATTTCTTTCGAAATTCCTTTTTTAAATGAATTCTTTTTTGGTTTTCTTTTCGATTGGGTCTATTCCACCATTGACTTTAAATCGAAATATGAGTTTTCTCTCGAGTTTCAATTGAAATATGAGTTGGTTTCATATCAGTTCACATGTTTCATGACTCTCCTTTTTTCTTCATATTTCAGGTCAGTTCAAATTCCTTGACCAGTGGTGCGAATTTCTGAAGGTACGTTGAACATTAATTACAGTGATCTAACCCCACTTTTTTATACTTCACTCAGTTCTTCTCAATGAAGAGTAACCGCTCATTCATAATCAGTTTCTTCTCATGGTCCTCGTTGAAAGTTTTTCTTTTACAATCGTTTTTCCTACTCACACGTTTTTGGAAAACTCCGGTTTTTTCTTTCAATCGCAAAATATTTACCATGATTACATTTTCGATCCCCAAAGATGATCTAAATAAGACTACAAGTCACTGAGCAAAGAAAGCATAAGACAAAAAAAGCCTCTATACTAATTCATCTATTTTCAATGTTTCCACAGAACAATCACAAGCGGTCCATTCCGAAAGACACGTGGAATTTGCTGTTGGACTTTGCAGCACACATCGATGACAGTATGTCAAACTACGATGCGGAAGGTGCGTGGCCGGTGTTAATAGATGACTTTGTCGAATGGTTCCACACGAATTATCAGCGACAATCGGTCATCAGCCAATCGAGCAGTGGCAGCAGTGGCAGCGGTAGCTATCAGGAAAAACCACACAGCAACATGTACTGCGGCTAAAATCGATTCAATTGGATCGTTTGACACACCAACACCTCCCTCCTCTTTAGAAGAGAAAAAAAAAATCAATTTGTTTTCTTTATTCTGCATATTATTTTCCAAATGCGTCAGTCTTAATGTCAGCCTCTTTTATTATCCTCGTTACTACTTTAAATCTTTTAACAATTTGGCTATGGCGTTCTAATGGAGTTAACACTTCTCTTTTTTTTTGTTTTTTTTTTATCATTGCACCTTCGTTATTTCTCACAAATCGAGCTTCAGTTTAAATTTCTCATTATTGGATAGAATGACAAAACCACATTCAACAATGAAGTTCAAAAAAAGAAAGAATACGAAGAAAAATTTAAGAGAAAAAAAAAATGTGAAATAAAATTTTCATATTTACATTTATTACGAAATTTGAAATACTGAAATGAAACATGAAATGATACAGAGTTAAACAAAACCAATTTATTTGTAAGCTTAAATGAAAAACAAAAATCTATTGAAATAAGAACAATTATAAAATGATGAGACAAATTATTAGGAGAGTTGGTTTCATTTTCGTACGGTGTGAGAGGGAATGGCATGCATCCATTCATTGCCTCAAGCTTCAAGGATGGAGACAAAGGGAGATAAGCAGAGAATGGGTCAGAATCTGGGAGAATCAACGAATTAGAGAGTATATTGGATCCATACAATCCATGTTAGGCTAATATTATTAGCCTTAGCCGGTGCCGGATCTGGTGATTGTTTGCCGCCCTGTGCAAATTCCCTCTTTGACGTGACAATCTATTGAATTTCCCACTTTAGCTTATATCACCGCGTGCAAATGCACGGCTTGCACGTTCCTTAGGTACTTGTACCGGCCTTTGGTGCGTACACCAGTCTTAGGTGCATAATTGGAAGTACAATTACAATCAACAGAGAGAAGTACTACATAGACAGTACAACAAAAGTCAATTTTTTTCTTCTTTCCCAACGCTCCTAACATAAATTTGTTTTCGATATGTCATTGTAATGAAACTAAACCAATTCCCGAATGAACAAACATGATGATGTGGTGACAAGACGACAAAACACAAGTCAACAGGACAAAATACAGTAAGGCACATACATATACAGTAATACAGTAGGACACAAATCAATAAAATGATATAACGATAAGACGTTCCAGCTATTGAACGTTGACATCTTACATGCTTGATCTTTCCTAGCTCTGCCTGGCATCCACACAACCACGATGGTTCAAAAATCCCAATGATATTGCTCTGAAATGTGAAAAATGTGGAAATGTGACTCGTTCCGTCCTGATCAAACCAAAAGGGTGGTTCAGTGTTAGTTCATCTGAATGACAAGTTGCTATTGGCAACTCTTTGCTTCATTATTTGCTGGGTTTTTATTGCATAGGCCCCACCATGAATCTTATCCATTTCTTCGAATTAAATTCAATCAATAGAAAAAAGTGCCACAGTCTCTCTCAATTGCGAGAGCTCAATTCAACTCGATTATTCCAATAAAAGTCCATTAAATAAAATGTATCGATGCGATTTATTGTAATTGAATATTGTGTGGGGAATACAATTTCTTACATAACTTATAAATCTAATGCTAAACAGACTTTGAGTTAGCGCGAGAGAGAGAGAGCAAGCAAGTAAGAGCTACACATGATGAACGATACTGATCGGCAATTGGCGATTGTTTTGTTTAAATCATCGCCGTTGGATCTAAATCTAAGAGGCACTCAACTGAGATAAATCTGCGACAAAATTGTTAATACAATCCGATGCAAAAATCTGATACGAAAATAACACATGCAAAAGAGCCTCATCCAAACATAAAGGTAGAACAAAAATGCATTGGCAAGTGATTGCTTCAATTGTAAATAGTTTGGCACCGGGCAAAACACTTAAATCGAAACACGCATTGGGAATTTAAACGATTTTCTTTTTATTTAGTTTTGAACGATTTGTTTGTTGTTTTTTTTATAGGAAAAGGGTTGGCATTGTATAATCGCATAAAAAATTATCCTTTGTTTTTCTCTCGAAGCGAGACTTTATCGACTAAATTTGCATCAATCTTACATTATTTACTTGAACTTTCTCATTCCCTTTTGAATGTATGAACATATGAGTTGGTGTGGGTTTGTATTCATTACTATGCTTACGATTACTAAATACTAGGACGAAATGAACGGTTACAAATGAAGATACATTGTTACATAATATGCGTTTGTTGTTTGTTTGTTTGTTCTTTGTGTGCGTGTGTGTATGAATGCGTTCGAATTGGATTTTGCGTTTAAAGTTTTGAGATAAAAAAAAATCATAGTACGAATCATGCTCAAAATGTACAAAATGGTACTCATTGTGATGGTCATTTGAGTTTCTCGAGCAACTTCTTGAGCTTTTCATGGGCATAACGCAGTTTCTGATACAATTCAGCCGAACAGCCCAATTTTGAAATCGTTGAGAACTTGTACGTGCGGAACTTGTTGTCGATGTACGTGACGGCACTCATACGAGGACACAATATTATCTTGATGTGGTCGGAGAAATTCAACTGGAATTGAAACGAAAAAAAAAACAGATTTCAATTAGCGAAAAAGAGTTTCGGAAAATTTTTCAATGGAAAACTTTACTTTTGTTGAGAAAAAAAAAACTTTTCGAGAGAGAAAAAAATTGAAACTAAGGCAATAAAAAAACGTTTCCTCTATTTTCTTGTTTTACAAAGAAAACGAGGAAAGAACTCTTCTGATTTTGTTCAGAAAAACAATTGCATGAGTCATTTTTTCTCTTCAACAAAAGTCTGCTACTCACTTGAACTGAACCATTTGTTAAGTGCATAACGACCGCACATGTGGTCCGGAACCATGTGTGCAAATGTGGAATACGTGAAACAACATCGCCAGCATCTCGCACCGAATTGCCGCCAGCCTTCACTAAATGCTCCGTCATATAACGCTTGAAGTATGACAATAATTTCATTTTCTTTTCCAAGTCATCTGGATACACTGAGTGTGTCATATACTGTTCGTTGCCCTCACGGTCGATGTAATGCACATTACTGAAAATATTCGAAATCGATTAGAATAATCAAATCAACGGCAACTCGAAATTGTGTTTAAATATTTCTTACAATAATTAAATGGTCAAACTAGATCGAGTCTGAGTGTTGAAAAAGGATTGAATTAAAATCAAAATCAGAGATGGTTTATCTCTGATTAAAATCAACTCGCGAGTGAAGCGGAACTGAAGAATTGATTTAAATTTTGGAAACTAAATACAGGTATTGAAGAGTCTTCAATGAAGACTAATTCGGTCTTAACTGGACGATAAAATTACTAATGGCTTTTAAGTTTTTTTGAAGAATGAAAAATGTAGGCATCAATTCAATAAACTCAGTAGAAAGTCAATTGATTTTTGCTCATTGTATCCAATTTCATATGAAAGCTAATTCGACAACAAAAGATTGCATTAGAACGATAAAGAAAAATTAGAAGAGAAGAGCCAAAGCCAAAAGTCAATTGAAAAAATTCACTTGTGGGCATAGCAGCCATGAGATTGTCAACCGGTGATTTTTCGAACGTGTTTCTTTCAGAATCACAGAAAAGAACTACTTACATTCCATTGGCCAGCATGATTAACTTTGTTGTATCATTGAACATAACACCCATTCCTTCGTCGCATAATTGATAACCAAAACCATATTTATCGGTATAATCGACCCACTTCGATACCCAAAACAATGGCGCAGCTGCTGGATCCGTGTTTTCATCGCTCAAATTTTCATTGTAGTTGTTACGTTGTGGCTGGTGTGGAAATAGACAAATTGTGTTAAATTTTTTGTTTCTTTTAATTTTCTTCAAAGAAAAATTGCTCCGATTTTCAAGCTTTTTTCTTTGAATTTTCGAAAAATTGTCTCGAATTGATTTTTTATGATTTTTTGAAGTAATTTTTCTTCTAATTTTAACCAGAGAAGAACCGAAGTTGAAAACCAGGTTATTTTTCTTTATTTAGAGTAACATTTTTTTCAACCAATTGAAATTTAACGAATTTAGCTTGAAACAGAACTTCTGTTTCATAACACAACAAAAATCGATTGAAAAATGCTCCAGAATGTTGAAAAAGTCAATGTTATCACCGGCTTACCTTATCATTCAACAATTTAGTCAGCTGCAAGTACAAATTGTCGATATCATTTTTGTAGTCTCGGTTATTCTTGAGCACCGAGCACTGGGCAGTGATTTGATCATGCAGATTTTTGCGTAGAAACGTTGTGGCGCGTTCATCTGTGTGACAAAAAAAGCAATAAAATTTCGATTAAATATGTGATAACATTGTATCAATCGGGTCAATTAAAAAAGGTTCAATCAGCTACAAAAATGCAATGTTCATGTAAAAAATACTCTATTCAAACAAGAGTCTATCCATTCATACCATATTCATTGTTGATTTCGATGAGAGGTCGTCGATCATCTTTGAGATCATTTTCAGAGTAGCCCAATTGATCAAGACGTGGTTCACAGGTCAAACAGGATACCGGCAACGACTTGGGTATCGGATGTTTCAGGAACTCATGCCGTAGCAAATCGTGTACCGATGGCCGTTTCGTTGGATCCGACTGTAGCATAGCGCAAATCATTTCGGCTGGCCACTTGGGCAGTGTTTGTGGCATACGATAGTCACACTTTCGAATCTTTGAGTATGTGTCTTTCAATGTTTTCGTTTCAAATGGCGGTTGGCCAACCAATAGTGTATACATAATACAACCAATGGACCAAATGTCCACCTCATACGAATGACCGGATTTTTGTAAAATCTCTGGTGCAATGTAATTCGGTGTGCCGCATAATGTTTGCTTGCGTTCACCATCGAATTTAATGCGTGCGGCCAAACCAAAATCCCCAATTTTCACATTCAATTTATCGTTCAAGAATAAATTGCCCAATTTTAAATCACGATGAATAATTCGATTGTCATGTAAATAACGAACACCTTCGAGAATTTGATGGATATAGAAACGGCATTCGGCAACGGTGACGGTCGGACGACGCTTGTGTAATTCCATCATTGAACGTTGCTTGCACAATTCCAATACGATGTACACATTGCGATCATCTTCGAAGAAACTCAAAAATCGCACCACATTCGGATGACTCAACGACTGATGGATCTTTATTTCCTGGGTCATTTTATCCTTTTGATTGTGCTTCATCACCAATTTCTTCGATACCACTTTGGCAGCGTACACATCTTGTGTTTTCATGTCGACGATCTCGTAGCATCGTGCAAATCCACCCTGTGTGTGTGTGTGTTTGGAAGAGAAGAACAATTTGGATTTTGTAGCGTTAGAAATGAGTTTTTTTCATCAGAAATATTTATGTGTGTGTTAAAGAATGAGTTTTTGGTTGAATGTGAACTTTTTTTTTTGACTCAAAGCAATGTGTCTCTGACAAAGACTGTTTGTTCAAAAGAACGTTTTTATTTTGGTTTCAGAACAGTTTCCCGCTAGAATCGTCATTTTTCGTTGGAAACGTCATGGAATTTTTTTTTGGTTAGAACCAAATGATTTTTGCAAAGAAGAATATCGTTTTTCTTGGAACATATTTATTTCTGGATGAATCAATGAATCAACGGTGAATCTGTTTAATACAGTATGTTCGATTCTTCAATCGAAGAACGGGAACTTTTTTTCAGAAAAAATTTCTTCGGAATTGCCAAAAAAAATCACAAATTTTTTGTTTTTGTCAATCGTTTTCTTCGAACTGTCATTGAATAAAATGTCCAATTACCGAAATCCCATTCTGACCACCAACTCAGAAGAAAAAGTCCATAAAAATCCATGTTTTCGGTTAAAAAATCACCCAGTCATTCATTATGTGTCACGTCATTATATTTCAAGTAGCTGGCTAAGAGTTGATTGTGATGGTCGTTGACATTCATTGAATCCATTTATAACCCGTTCATTGTGTCGTCACATCAACGAATTTGTCCGTTGTGGCGATGAACATTTTCAAATAAAGTGAGGTTATACAATGCAAAGCGCTCTCTGTCTAAGGCATTGCCTATGTGTGTATGTGTTTCTGTCTCTCTTTCCCCCTTTTCTCTGTATACAACCGACAACCGTCTAGCTCTGTGTACAACCGACAACCGATTGTTTGTATGCGCGACCGGTTCAACATTGAATGTGTCAAAGAGTGAACCAACCATACGCATCGCCGCATATCGCGTCGTCTCTGTCACACGCATACCAATTTACCCTATACCCGATAGAGGATAGACGATTTGACTTTTTGAATTTGTTCAACTGAATTTTTGCGACGAAGTATTTGGTGCATTTGTGATACAACAACAAGAACGGCGGGAAAAAAAAGAATTGCTGGTATCAACTCTGGCCATGCCATGCATTGGCCCAATGAATTAATGGAAAATGTTTCTCTTTTGTATGCGATAATCCATCCCGTTAGAGACAGAATGAAATACAATTGAATTTATGTGTCGCAAGTGCACAATCAATTGTGTTTGGTCCAACTCATTTTTTTCCACTGCTCTCTCACTGTACGGGTTGGTGTGACACAAGAAAAATTCATATCAAACTCATTCTCTATGACACACGAAATGACAAAGAACGTATTTTCGGATTTGGTGACAAAAAATGATGGAAAAAAATAATGTACAAATGGAATGTTATTACCTTGCCAAATAGTCGGCATCGCTTATATTTTACATTTTCCTTCTTATCGAACAAAATGTCTGGTATTTCATTGGCTGGATCCTCGTGTTTGCTACTCATTTCTACGGAATTTCTGCACACCGACTAATTTTTAATTTCTATAAACAACCAAATGATCCACTAAATGATGAGAAAAAAAAATATGTTCTACCACGCGATCTGCTTGTCTTTGACTCTCCGTGTTGTGTGTGCAACAAATTTTCTCTCTACCAATTAATCAACTGATTCGATTCAAACACAACTTTTTTTTTTAAGTTATCTCAGAAATTACGCAAATTTTATAACAAATTTATCGATTCTGGATGGAATTTTACATGAAAATTCTTCTGAAGACAAAAACGATAGAGAGAAGGAAAAAAAAAACTAAGACACTTCACTGGAACGCGATTCGAATACGATTTGATGGGTTCAGTGCAAGCCGTTCGAGTGTGCGACAGTTGAACATCTCGGTTTTGAAATTCACTCACACACGCACACATACCAACTCATACACTTACGCATCCAGTTGAAGCGATGATACAACAGCGCCACCGCATCACAACCGACCGATTCAATCAACATGAAGTTGACACTCAACGTTTGACGAAATGCGCGTGAATTTAATTTCTTTTTTTTTTTTGGTGCAAATGAAACATACTTCTTTCAAGAGAGAATTCATTTTATTTCGGAAAAATTATTTCCATTTTGAATCAATTAATTTTTTTCGCGAAGTTTGATTTTTTCGAGAAAACAATTTCTCGGTTGAAGTTATGCTGGAGTTTCAGTTTTAGTTTTGATGGAGCTTCACTTGGTTAAGAGTGAGCCTTTGTGTTGAGAAGTCAGTGACTTCAAGTCACTTGCTCAATTCTTGTGCTAATGATCACAGTTTGGGCCACATCAAACTTGAGAATATCCACTGCATATACATATATGCAATATATTGACGGCTTTTCTATTCTGTATTTTCAGAGTTTGAGGAAATCAACATTTTTTAAAGCTAATAGGGTGTTGAATCAATTTGATATTGACATCAGAATTTGGTATTCAGCAGAATTTCAACTTTTTAGACTAAAAATCATCATTATTCCGAAGCTTTGATATTATGATGCCCAATTTGAACAGCCCAAAAGGCTTGCATCGCTTATTAAAAATGGTACTCAATGAAGCAGTGGACTTGTCGTCACACGCATAGATGTAGCACGTGGATACATAGCGATGTTTGGGGCGCTTATATACATAGCGTATGTATGACCTATGGCTACTACGATGAAGAGCATAAAGGAATGGACGCTATTTTTTTTTAAGGTGAATGGTTTATGCGCGGTGCTAATTTTAAAATCACAATGGAATGTCTGAAGAAAAATGGAGAATAAACTTCAGAGAAAATGTTTTTGTCACTTTTCATTGCATTTTTGTTACCTACACTTTATGATGATAGTTACCTTTTAGTCTATTACAGACGAATTGTTTTCCAATCTGCCATAGCTTCATCCCTTCAAAAAGCGAAAACAAAACAAATACGAAAAAAAAATCCCAAATTCCAATTGAGTTTTAATTTTTCATTCATGATGGTTCATTTTATTAAGTCGTTTGTTGGTGAACAAGTGTTTCATTTGCGGGGAGAGATTAAAATCTTTGTCTGTATGATTTTTTTTTCTGGATTTTGACACAAATATTGATGGTTCTAAACCATGAAAAAGAAGAAAAAAAATACAAATTCTAGTGTGATGAATATTTCTGTTTGCTCCTAAATGCTATTACAAGGTACTCGACTATATGAACTCTGTTTAATGTTGAATTAATGCTATTTTCTTTAAATAATAAGTGAATTGTATGCGTTTTTATAGTTTCATTCGTCGATAGTTTTTGTTGTTGCTATTTATGTGGTTGCCATTAAGAATTCTATCATATAACTGCTAAGTAGTGTGTCTTTGAGTGAGATACCATATGGATATTGAATGGGTTTTGAGTTTGAATGGACATTTCATTTCTCTCAGGAAAAAACATTCTTCTGTTAGAATTTTTTTTTTCCATTACAAAGAAGACTGTGACTGAGTACGACTGATGGTATGATTTTAATACGTAGAGTCTACAGCTTTAAGTGTTAAGTCACGTCCTTCTCTTTTTCTGTCAGAAAATTCACCAATTTCCAATGCTAATATTACACTCGATGATCTTCAACTGTCTGAAATTGGTAAATTCCACTCGAAACCCTTATCCCGTGTCAAAATTTCGGTTCATTCAAACAATGTATTGAGTTTGAATGTGAGTGTTTTTTTTTGTGACTCAGCACCAAATTATGTCTTCGATTTGATTTCATCTTAACTCCAATGAATTTGGAAAAAAAATAATCTGAATGCAATTTGAAAAGAATGGACAATGGAAGGGATATTTCCACCTGAAACGTGGTTTCAAGAAGAATAATATCCACCTGAAATATTTTAAAAGACTGTCAAAAATTGTATAAATCCCAAATAGAATTAGTCATCTTCGCTGTTTCTTCATATCACCTCTTCATCTCATCCAATTTTTTTCTTCATTTCTGTTTGACCTTTGCCTTTGAATTTATATCATTGATTCGATCAATGTGTATTCGACATTGTAGAAATGTTTCAATAGATCATGAACGGTTAAATCATGGATCATCATGGATTATATTTATAAATCATGATCCTTTTGCTGCATAAGTTATGCAATTGCATTCAATCGGATGCTAAAAATCGAAGTCACATTTCGTCACCTCGTCTCCATCATAAATCTATTGATTATTTAAATCAGTGTAACATTGCACAGAGCATCATCGAATGAAAGCCAACTGTCAATGTGTCTTCCAGTCGATGATATGATCAAAATGTGTGAGTGATTTTTTTGTTTTTATGTAGTAATAATCTATTATAAAGTTTATCTCGCTAAAATTTTCAACTAGGACTTGTTAAAAATCGGTTGCTTGTTTCATTTTTTATTAGTTTGGTGGTGTAGGGTAGAAAAAAATGTGGATAAAAAAATCATCGTATCGTTTTTTTTTTGCACATTTGGATGGGATCGACAACAAATACAAATTGTCGTAGTGGGAGAGATTGTTCTACAATGCAAAAAACTTTGAATGAGTATTTCTAGAAGAAAAAACCTCAATAAAATCCTCTCTAAACTTACAAATTAAATGTCTAAATATAAATTACGGTGTGAGAGTTTGTATGTGAGTGAGTCTGTGTTTGTGTGTGTTTTGGTTTGTCTTAATACAATGTTTGCAAATATTTATTGGACTACACACCGAGGACAATTGTTATGAATTACAATATGCTACGTTCAACTCTATTTTCGACAATGTGGTTTACGAACGCCATTGAAACAGTCTGAATATAAACACACATTGCTAACCAGCGAAAATAGCCGCGGCTTAATGTTTTTGTCATATGTCAGAAGCGGTTGCACGGAACGAAAATAACATTTTTTTTTTGGGTTTATATTCTAAATGTAAATATGGTTAAGTATTCGAGCGATTGTAATCTACCCAGTGCCGGGGTTGACCGAAAAGCGCGACACAGCACAAGCTACAATGAATATTCAATTTATATTTATTTTGGCATTTGCAAGTCAGATCAGCAATGAGATGTGATTGTGATGTTGTTGTTGTTGTTGTTGTCGTCGTGTGGCCGATAAATTGCTCGAAAAAGAAATAAACAAATTGGTTATGCCATAAATTGTAAGTGGTGTTGTGTGTTGAGTGTGACAGATAGACTTTTGGTCGAATATTTTAACTGAATATATCGACTAAGCACTTGAGATTCTTAAGACGTTGATGTGCCTTGACGCGTAGCGGTGGCTTTGAGTGTTTGATCCAATTTAAGGTTTCATTCGATTCAGCCGATGATATGTGATGTCCATTACCATTCCAATTGTTCTTATTGTTGTTGTTATTGTTATGCTTATTCTTTGGTTCGTTGGATTTTGTCACGGTGTCGGACTTTGAATTTGACTCAGACCGTTTGAATCCTTGCAGCAATCGTGCACCGAATCCTAATTTGGGTGTTTTGTGCGTTGCAATTGGTGTGACCGTTGAATGTGTTGATGTGGTTGGTGATTGGGGATCGGCTTGATCAATGGCACTCGTTGAAAGTGTGGCCGGCGATCGGTTTGGATATTGAATCGTATTCGAAATTGGCATTTCACTTTCTTGCACCTCAGTAATTCGATTCAAAGATTGACTTTCTCGCAGCCGTGTCTCGCCCGTTCGTCGTCGGCCAGCCCGATGACGCCGGAAACCTTGAATACTTTTTTGTTGCCGGCCATTCGTATTTGATTCACCGGTTTGTGCGGTTTCATCGTTGGTCGACTCACTGGCATTCGATCCATCGCTAATGATTTGCACTGCAAATGACGTTGATCCCGATCCCGATGCACCACATGTCGGATTGCTGGGATCCTGTGAATCACTTGAATCATCATTCGAGTCACGGCGTTGTGTTTGAATTGGCTTTGTCGAATCGACAATTTTGTGTGCGCGTTTCTTTCGATTTTCCGAATCATCATCGTCCGAGGACGAACACGATGCCGTACGGGATTTGTTAAATTTTGACCGTCGATGAGCATGGGCACCGCTTTGCGATGCACTTCGATTGTTTGTGAAATTGGCATGTTTGGCTACGGGCCGAGGTGTGGTCGTTGCGCTTGTGTCGGACGAACCAATGTCAGTGCCTTCTTCAAAAATCTCATTTAAACACATTGCACCCGGCAGAATGGTGTTGACTCGTTCAGGCGATGGCATCGTTTTGTATTTCGGTGGAGTGACTAGGGCGGCGGGCGTTTGCGACGATATCGGAATGGTTATCGTCGACGAATCGGTTAGAAATTTCGTCTCAGCTATGGTATTTTCAGTGGCAAAAGTCGCCACTTCTGAATTGGCCTGTTCACCATTTTGTGTGCCCGCGATAATGTTCGGCGATGGTGGTTCCACTATCGTTCGAAATATCGCATCGTTTGCATTGTTTTGCAATTCCAATGGACGTGGAATTGGCTTGTGACCAAATTGCCGACGACCCAATCGATTCGGATCCATGTCGCTCGCTGTCAATACTTTCACATTGCAAATGCCGTCGAACACACTTCGGGTGGGCGCAATGTCTGTTGCCAACATTTTTGCAGCACATTCTTTCTTTAGTCGCTCCGTTTCGGCCAACCGATCCTGAACCGTTATGTTTATCCGGCCCTCAGACTTTGAACCCCGACGATTTAACGAGCCATCGTCCCGTTCACCGTCATCGTCTTCATCGTCATCCTCCTCTTGTACAATACTGCACTTTCGCGAACGTCCAGTCTACGGAAAATAAGAAATTATATTTATTGAGTTATACTTTTGATACTTTTTAGCCTGTTTAGAGATTTATTCGATTCTTTTTCTACTCAGACCCAGATATTTTGCCCGTATCAATTCAGACATTCGGACAAATTAAGCAGTTCAATACACTCAAAAGTTGAACAAACGATTGCTTACAGTTGTCACTACTCCATCGACTCCAGTCCTTGAACTATTATAATATCCAGTTGACGGCGGTGCCAGCAAATTGCTCGACAGAATATCAATTGCAGCATCAACCACATCACCGGATGGCTTTTTCGGTGATGCTTTCCCATTGTTTGGCGCAGTTGAACCCTCCGCTTGTGCTGTCTCCTGTCGCGTTATTTTCAGTCGTCGTTCAGCCAACAGAAAATACGTGGCTGTTATGTGATTATATTCATTTTTATCTAGAGCTCTGCAAACGGAAATAAATAAAAAAAGTTTTGAAATTAATTTGCATGCTAAAATACGAAGATTTTTTTTTCAATTATTGTCTGTGTGAAAATTTTCAGCTAGGGAAAAAATTAATAATATCTTGATGCGTAATATTTTTAATGAATAATGTCCTTGTTGAAAAACAAGAACAGAAAAAATGGAAAAAAAATCCAGAAAAATTTCAAAAAATTCCAAAAAAAAATCCAAAAAAATTGAAGAGGCTCCAAAAATTGCACTGGGACTTACTCTAAAATTTCTTCTTTGGTTGCAATATTCCCATTGATCATTTTCTGAATAATAAGCGCATGATCATCATCGCTAACTTGCTGCCTACTAACTAACGGTAAATATTCAGGTACATGTACATGCTCAGATCCATCTTGTGTTAACCATCTATCGGTGGCAATTTCAGCGAGTGTCGCCCGCTTCTCTGGTTCACGCAACAGCATCCGAGCAATTAAATCACGACACTCATTTGACACATGAGCGGGTGTCGTATATTTGCAGTCCATAATCATTGTCAATGTTTCCGAATCGTTTGCCTCTTGGAACGGTGGATGGCCACACACAAGCATATACAATATTACACCCAGCGACCAAACGTCTAAATATAATGGAAATTGAATGAGTCAATTTTGTTTTGGTTTTAATAAATTATTTATAAAATTTATTTATTTTTATTTTTTTTAATGGAAATTAATTTCTTTTAAAATCATGTGATCATAGTATCTAATTGGAGGAATTGTTTAAAAACTGGATTGAAATAATAAAATTCAATTTTGCGTAAAAAAAAATTCTAGAAAAATTTAGCCATTCAAAAAAGTTTTTACTAAATTTTTTAGTCTAATTTTAACATTTTTAGAAGAAAAATGTCACAATTTTAAGTGAAAAAGTTAAAATGAGATCGGAAATACACTCTTAAATTGAATTTTTATTATAGATTGGGTTCTATTGATTGTTTTCTCCGAAATACTCACCGACAGCTGGTGCATCGTATGAGTCACCCAAGAGAATTTCGGGTGCTGAATATGCCAGACTGCCACAAGATGTTTCAAGTTTTTGGCCAGGGCAAAATTTATTACTAAAACCGAAATCGGTCAATTTGACAATGCCTAATTTTTCGAAGAACAGCACATTTTCCGGCTTTAAATCTCTGTAAAAAAGGATCAAAGAGAGAATTAATACAATTTCAATTTCATTTACAAAGAGAATAAGAATGTTAAATAAACGGAAATGTTGCTCTTTTTTTCAACAAAAAAGAGAGTAAGAGTGTTGTTATTTTAGATGACTCATCTATTTTATTCACCCAAATACTGAGTACAATAACGAAAATATTATCCGTCATGAGTCATGAATAACAGCATAAATGATAAACTGTGTCATACCTGTGCACCACATGCAATTTATGACAATATGAAATGGCTCGGACAATTTGTCGAAAATATTCTCTAGCTAAGTGTTCGCTTAAGCCACCCTCGTGCTTCATAATATAGTCGTAGAGATCACCGCCATCGCCTAGCTCTAAAATCAAGTACAATTTGGTTTGTGTGTCGATGACTTCGTATAATCGCACCACATGCGGATGTTGAACTAATTTCATGCATCTAGAAAGAGAAACAAAGACATGAGCTAACGCAAATAACCATAATACAATAATTGTAATAGGTATGTACATAATAAAAAAAAAGTAAGCAAGGTAGTCAAAACAAAATGGGAAGTAAATCAATGTGGAGATTATTTAGATCATGTGAACGAAATTCTCCATTGAAACCGACTGAACAATTTTCAAGTTTTTGCATCACGATTTAATAGATGATAAACACATTTAATCACATAAATGACTGATAAATATTTTATTACACTTTCCAAAGAAATGCCATAGCTCAGACAGTAATTTTGACTTGTTGAATCATCAAAAAAGCAAATAGCCTTGGAAAATCCCATTGCTCAAATTATAATCGTGACAATAAAACTTCAAAGTGTTCATTTCCTTTCCATGGCCACACACATACACACATTTTCGACACAAAATTGGTTTGAAGAAACTTTTTAATGGGTCTTTTCTCAATTGGATGTACGTACGTGTGCGTTTTTTTTGTTGTTGTTAATAAATTGACCTTGTCGCACTTACCGAACTTCCTGGAATAGATGTGCGCGTGAGACTTCGTCCAATTTGGTTTTGTCGATGACTTTAACGGCAACTTTTTCGCCAGTGAACACATGCCGGGCCAATTTCACAGTGGCAAAATGTCCAACACCAAGTGTTTGCTCCAAATCTGAAAATTGAGTGCGAATTTTTTTTTTTGTAATTAATGGATTGGATAAACAAGTGGAATTTATCTAATTTTAGAATGAATTTTACGGTAATCTATTTGGGTTTGTTGTGTTATGATCATAAAAAATGACTTTTTTCACATTGGCCTGAAATAATACTGCTATCATAGCATATTGCTATGGTATAGCCAGACTCAAGCAAATCAATTACATCATTAAAAAAAATAACAACACATCAAATCACCCATACTCACCATATAGACCAGCTATTTTCCCATCGTAAACACCTGACCGAACACTTCCGCTTCCGAATGTTTGCATTTTGCTCTCCGTGTTTGTATTACCCCCTTTTTCTCACTAATTGGTTGTCTTAATGAATGATTTGTTATCGATGTTGTCGGTGCGCTGCTGCGGCTGCTGATAAAAATAGAATTGCGGGCAATAAAAATCAGTTAATCGACAAAATTAGTCTCGAATACGACGGTGAAATTGAAATATAGAAATAGATAAAATAATACGATAGGAAATTGGTAGAGTAAACACCCAAGTCATTAATCTATATTTAAATATTAATATGGGAACTATGCAATTGTCCAATTTGTTGTATGAAAGTGTTTAATGTGCATGTTGTTGAATCGAGAGCGATGTTGGCATGTGTTGAGTCGCATGGCGCATTGTGCTAAGGGTTAAAGTAACCGAATGTTTTTGATAAGAAATCGCTCAAGGTCATCATCAAAACAACCAACTTGCTCGGTTTATTCAGTTTTTTTTTCTGTTCGGCAAAGTACAAAGCATTTCCTGATGGTGTTCTGTTCAGCAAATCGATTTTTGACGTCAATTTTCCAAGCAATAGTGAATATAGCGTGTACGCTATTTTCTAACTTAATTTCACATTACACCAAGATCACTTTCACGTTGATTACCATTCAGTTTCATTTAAAATTCAAACAACAACAGAAAGAAAGAAAAAAAAAACGGAGCAGAGAAACGAAACTGAAAACTCATGGAAAATGAGCGAGTGAGCGAAACAAAACAATGTATGAAGAAAGTAAGGTTGAAGTGCCATAAAGCAGGCATGAAAATGTCAGTTTGATGCAATAACAACAGCAGCAAAATAGCAGGCAGCTAATGAATGTCGTGCGGTTTGGTTCATTCTCAATTATACATGCAATTGAATTATTATGGTGTAGAGAGCATAGCGGAAACAGAAAATGGAACAACCAAACCGAGCCAAGCCAAGCCAAGCCATCCACTGATTCTGATTCGATTCGAAATGCATTCGCCGAAGCGTTTGCTTGCAACGAGAGTGTGGCGCACATTTAAATCGCATTAAACTTTTAAAAAATTAATTAATATGGCATAAATACAGTTTGAGAGCACGGGCACGAGCATGGAATTGGTCGTTGTGTTGTGCATCACTGTGACATTTTCAACCGAACTGAGAGAGAGAGAGAGAGAGAGAGAGAGAGAAAGTGGCGCGATTCCATTTCATCAATCACAAATTGGAACAACAACTGACAATGTAAACAACGGTGTCCATGTCAAGTACAACGAGCGACCAAGCAGCAAACAAAAAACAGCAGTATTGATGATTTACTAGGGGTTGAAAACAAACATTGCGGTTCGGACTGACACACACAATCCGTTGAATAAATGATGAGTGCGACCGTTCGTGCGACAGTCGATAGAATGAGCGAGAGATAAGTGGAGAGAGAGAGATAGAGCGAGAACACCAACTCGATGGACAATTTTCCAATAAATCCGCTTTAATTGGAACGGAGAGCGTGAACGAGCGACGTGCTCGATATACACAGAGACCCAAAATCAATGGAGTGTTTAGTATTGATTTTTTTTCTTCATCACCCGCTTTTGCCAATTCGCAATAGAAAATTTATTGAAGTCCCAGTCACACATTCGGGGTACTGTACTGGCTGCGTAATTTATAGCACAGCAATAAACACATTACCGAATTATTCGCTCTCGCTACACTCACAGTGTGACAAAAGAAAAGCAACAACAACGACAAGTCGTAGTCGCCGTTGTCGCGCATTAAAAATGAGGAAGATACCAATGCAATGCATAGAATGTGACCTAGAAACGAATGCAAGCGAAAAAGAAGACACAATCACCGCAAGAAAAATTATTGCGGTGCTCATGCTGATGCTACAGCACAGTACGGCGATAGCAAGAGAAAGAGAGAGCATTAAATCAAAACGGTACCGAAACGCACCCAACTCGTGCAGTATTTGTCGTGCTCCGGCTCTTTTTTTTCATTTGTTCTCTTGCTTTATTACTCATTCTTTCTCCGTTCGCTCATTGTATGATTCGTTTCATTCGTACTCGTGCCCGTATATTTTTTGTCTCTATGCTTTCGGTCATTTGGTTGTTTCGTGTTTGGTTTGGGAAGAGTGTGTGATTTGTTTGGTTGCGTTTTCGTTTCCATTGGAATCTGTGTAAATGGAACGTGTGTGGTTTATCGTTCCGTGTAAAATGATGATAAAAAAAACGAAGAAAAAAACGATAACAGTTGGAACAATAACAATTCAACAGAGGTTGTTGAAAACAACGAGCGAACGGTGTACAAAGGCAAACGAGTAGGTCGAGATGTGATATTGAAAGTAATATGCTCATTGAAAAATTAGTGCTGTGCACGCTTTCCGAAATTATATGAAGAAGAAAAAAAATCTCTTCATTGTTTTCTTATCAGTCAACTCGAATAACCGGAGAACACTTCATAAGATCACACACAGTAAAAAATAAAAGTCCACATCTAGCCGTTTTTTCAGTAATTTGAGCTGCAGGCGAAATTCCGCTTATAATCTAGTCGGTTTTTCGTCTGAAACTCAATTTACTAGGCAAAATATAAGACTGGGCGCCTCTACCAGTCGAAAATCCGCCTAAGTGTGGACTTTTATTTTTTACTGTGCATACTCATTGGGTTGATGCCGTAGCAGCCGTCGTCGTCATCGTCACTGTACTGTTGCTTTTGAATCGATTAGCACACTCTCATACATGCCTACATCATCAGAAAAAAAAAAGTCTATACACTACGTCGGGTGAACGGTTTGAGTGAAACATGTTTCAGGCTAATTTATGCATTAAGCCATCAAAATCAGCCGCTATACGTTCCGTTTTAATATGCAAAAGCAAGCGGCTGAACGAAAAAAAATTCTTTTTTTTCTATTCTCTGACCGAAAAAGAATAATGAAAGAAATTGAACCACCAGCAACAACAACAAAATTCAACAAATTGAGTGGATTGGGCAAATGCGTGCGCCTTACTGTTTCTATCCCATAACCATACCAAGCAAACACACACCGACACCAACCATTATTCACTTTGTTTGAACTGTTTTTTTTTCTTTCGCTCTCTCGCTTATTTATGTGAAGTGACGGAGGCGCGTTTGCGCGCGCTCGTTTGTTCGCCCAAGAATGCGCCTCGCTGTAGAATCCACAATGTGGATTTTAGCCCATTCATTTTTATGATAGATTTTTCCGTTTTTGGCACCGCATTTCTTAGCATGAACACTCTTTAGTGAACACACAACGTTTTTTTTTACTACTGCGTGTTTTCTTTCCACAAAACAAAGCACGGCCGATCCAATAGATTGCCGATCCATGCACACACACAAATATTTGTCAACATTGTTTACACATTGACAAGTTTACTTTGTTATTTTTTTTTTTTTTTTGGTTTCGATTTGCGATAATTGTGTTCGCATGAGTTTGTTTCCATCAATCTGCATTGACACTTCGGCTGAAGTTCTTGTCACACAGACACATTCACGCCCTATAGACACAAAGCATGTCACCGAATGTGCTAATCGATTGGAAATAAACTTTGAGCGAAAAAACGACAAGAGAAGAAAAACAATTGACATATACGGAAGCACAAAAACACATGATGAATGCAATTAAAGCCACCTCACGAATATCTACCATTCTCTGGCTTTTTTGAATTTTAAATTCAAATTCTCACCATTTTTTTTCTTCGAATTATAAATTCATAACTTTTTTCTTTTCTTTGATGGTTTTGTGTGTTTTTCTTTCTCTTTGACGACCGTCCCGGTTGAACGAAACCAGTCTATTTATTCATAATTTGTTCTTATTATGAGCGAAATCCTTTTTCGCAATCAATTTTGCCAATAAATTATTTTGATTGGCAATCGTGCACGATTGGCATGAGTGCTCTTTTTCGCCGCTTATTTAAATCTATTCCGAAAAAATCGATGCATGAGATAGCCATCGATTTCGATTCAATGTGAAACGTTTGTTTTATTTTGCGAATTGATTTTTTTTCTCTTCGTCCGTTGATATTTAGCTCGTGCCAAGTCATTTTTAAATTGAGTAAAATTGCCTCAATATAAGGAAACTATTCGAAATACCCACTTGAAATAATTATTATGTAATTTTGGTTTGGTTTCGTCATCCAGCGCGCAAAGCAAAAAGCCAACGACACAATCGAGTCATGGCATGTGTGTGAGAGTCAATGTGTATTGTGTGGATGGATGTGGATGTGGATGTGTTGGCGTGTGGATGCCGTTCGTCGATTGCTTGCGCCGTTGATGATTTTCGTGCGATTTCGATTATAAATTGTAATGTGGGGCGGGTTGAGTATATAAACAATGAGTTCATTTTGGGTTTGCGTGTGACGCCACACATTCTCTCTCTTTCTTTCTCACTCATTCTTTCTCTCACTCGTTTTCATTCGAGTTCAATCATTATTCGCGTTTTTTTCTTTCATTCTCTTTCTTTCTCAGCGATGACAACATTACGGAAATTCAATTGTGGCTTGACTTTGATTTTAATTCATGCTCTAGCCTACGAATGTCTTTGCATCGACTTTGTACACATCGCAGAAGAAAAAAAAACGAAATATCTACGCGAAATGACGGTGATGCATACACATTTGAGGGGGGCGACAGTGCCAAAGTGAAACCGAGAATAAATCTTTCTTTGCAAATGATGAGCCGGAAAGAGATAGAGCGAATTCATTCATTGAGTTTGCTTGGGATTATTTGGTTGTGTCTATTTTTGGAACTGGCCATTTCACGTCATTCGCATGGAATTCGCAAACGAAAGAGATATAGATTTGTTTACAGGCTCGAGTTAATTTTAAATTAATCGGCTCATCGATGTGTATGCGGATATATAAGTCAATCCATGAGCCGTGTGTGTGTAAACATTTTCATTCAGAGTCGAACGAGAGTTTCACTGGGTCGATTTCCATTTATGACCATTATTTATCTCGCATACACAAACACAAATAAGACAAAGAAATCGATAGCCAAGTCAGCCCCAGCCACCGTGCAATTTCCAACGATTTACGTCAATCGACAATTTGTTGTACTCTCTCTTTAGATACAATCTTATTTCGGTCGCTGTTCATTTCTTTTCTCACTCTTGCACATTTCTCTCTCTCTCTCTCTCACTCGTCTCTCTCTCACACACACACACACTCTGACTCTCTCTCCTTGTCTTGTTCACTTCATTCTCTTCTGTTCTCACTCAAGATTCTTGACTCCGTTCGAAATGTTTCAACGCTCTTACATTCGTTCATGCAAAAAAAAAACACTGGCGACCGCCAGGAAAATAAAAGCACACAACATAGGTACGTGCACGTTGAACATTTCATCGAGTGAAACAGATAATTTTCGGGATGTTATTTGGTCGCGTGTGTGCGCTAAATTTATAATTGAATCGCGTATAAATCATCCGAACGCGAATAGTTGAGTGTCGTGTGCGACCCGAGAAACTCGTCGAATGCGCGAGTGCTCTAGCGGGCGTGCTGTGCACACACACACACGAGTTAGAGAAAGAGCGTCGCGCACAGTTTTTCAGTGTCATTCACATAATAAATATAAATGAAAAGAAAATAAATACAAACATATGCATCATCTTATATATTTTGCACGCAGCACCGAGATGAGAGAGCAAAGAAAAAGCAATAACAGCAAAATCAAAATATAGTGAATCTATCTCCGAATCGTTTTTCTCCGTAAAAAATGATCGTCAATTACATTTCAATGGCAAATTACTGAAATGAGCAACGATTGAACGAACGAATGGAGAAAAAGCGGAATATAATCTAACTATGCACTGGAAAACTTTTTTTTTTGTTGCTGGAATCAATAAAAACTGTGTCAACACACGATTCACGTACAAACGACAATTTGCATTGAGGCATTGATGTCAACATCAAAGCGCAATTAGATGCGATAACACAAGAAATTGACTGAAACTAGACTGGTCATACCGATGCAAACGAAGGAGACTTACATGCAATGAGTCGCTCACAACTGAAAATCGATACTTACTGACAACTCAATGAGACTCGATACTCGCTGAGATCGATATATCCGAATCGAATATCTACCGATACTCGATTTGGCTGCGGCGAAATGCCGAATAAGGTGCATGCATTATGAATATCATGGTGATTCAATATCATGGCGATTACCTCATTCGGTTCGCTGTGAACATTCTCGTTCTATTTGCAACAAGTTTTTTTTTTCGTGTGTTCATTCCTTTCCAAAACTAATTAAGTCGAATTGTGAGATTAATTAGCAGATGTGGAAACGAAAGAATAGCGAGAAAAAACTTAGCGAGAAAAAAAGTCGTTCAGGATTAGAAAATTATCTCGTCGAGAGAAAAAAACTGTTCAGAGTGAAGGGAAAAACGTAGAAATATCTCGAGCGAGGCTGAAAAAAAAGCACTTGATTTGTAAAAACAAAATGCTCTACCAGAAAATTGAGGGTTTGTTTTTGTCTCCGCACACATAGAGAGAGAGAGCCCGAATTATAGGTACTTATGCTTATTAATTTGATAATTGATAATTGTGGAAAAAAACGCACATTAACATCCATCCGTTGGCTGTTTTTTTTTTCAATCGTCTCGCAATTTCTATACGTTTTCTTCTCTCTCTCTCTCTCTCTCTCTCTCTCTCTCTCTATCTCCATCTCTATCTAAGTTCTGCTTCGCCATTAGTTCACGTTGTTTCGTTGTGCTATAATAAATTTCAATTTCAGAAAATTGTTGTTTAGTCTCGCGCGTACTCTATTCGTGCACCAGTTTGTATTCGCTCTCGATTTTTTCTCTTTTGCTTCATGCATTTGAATCAATTTTACGAAATAAATTCGTGTTAATGCGGTGTAGTTTGTCGTTCGTCACGTTTCAAACACACCGACCCATTCATTTGATATATCCGTTCAATGCAGGCTGTTCAACTGTTTGCTCTTATTCTTTATTCGAATAACAATGACGCGAGAGCGAAAAAAAAAGTTGTACGTACAAGATCGGCTTTTTGTTCGTTGCAAATCCATTTTATTATTCATTGAAAAAATGGGCTTTTTAAAATGACGAAAGGCGAGCAAGCAAAAAAAAAAAAAACGAACATTGAAATGACAAGAAGTGTGATGATGGGAGAAAAAAAAAGTTATGGCATAGCATAGAGATTGAAAGCCAGCGGCGGCCTTCAGTTTATTTACACACTAGACGGCTTCGAATGGGTGATTCACCCATGGGAATTTAATCAATAGAGAGAAACACACTCGGCGCGTTTAAATACTTTCGATTTAGAATTTTTCCGTAAAGAAAGGTTCAAAGACGATGTCGACGACGTTGACGGACGGTTCATGGCGGCGGTCGTTTATATCTCAAAGCCTATTTGAAAAACGACATTTGTTGTATTCCCTTTTTTCTTCTTCTTCTTATTGTCATTGTTGTTGTTGTTGCCATTTTTCATTATTTATGCACACACATGTGATGCTGACTGGAGGCTAGTGCACGCTTAGGAGGAAGAAAGAGAAAAAGTGAGGCAGAGAGATAGAGAGTGAGACGCACGCACAACGTACACGGGCTGACTGACACAATACAATATACGTGATGAACCGTTCGACTCAATGGCATTTTTCATCGTTGCAAACACGTACCGACCTAAACACATCTTTCATGGACTCTCTGACGAAGGAATAGGGAAAGAGACGCAGAAAAAAACATATCGACTCTTGTTATAGTAAAGAAAAAAAATAATTTGATGTGAGCACACGGCGTTGCCAGCAGAAACATACACGAACCAAGATAAATGTTGAATGAAGAAGGAAAAAAAAAATGAAATAAAATTGTGTATTTTCAACACACTCACACCCAAAACGCACGGAAAAGAAGAAGAAAAAGCGAGAAAGAGCAAGAGAGTGAATTCGAGAAAGGCCCCGAACAAAACGGAACGCAATGCAATGCAAACAACGTAAACATGAAATTTGACAGCCACAAAACCTAAGCCATTTTAAGTGAATGTGTTGTTTTTTTCTCTCTCTCTCTCTTTCTCAACCGAAGAATGAAATAAACTGGAAGCAGAAATTGCAGCAAATAAAGAATGATTTATCAACTTTCTTTAAAATTAGAAGTGAGCTTGGTCCGATTGTTTGTTTTGGCACACATCAAATACATTTTTATGTATGCTTTAAAAGAAAACTGTTCAATCGAAACAAAGCACACACTCACTCACTCACACTCAACATATTCACATATATAACAAATGGGCAATTATGCAGTTCTAAATAGAATCTCCTACCGATTTTTGCTTCTTTCCTCTCTGATGTTCGTCTGCAGTGCGTTGTCGTCTTCTTTATTTGACAGGCAGTAGACCGCTGCACACGAGAAAAAGAAATCACTTGTTCTCTATTGAATTTTCGAAGCAACGGAATGCACGGTACACGCAAAATGCAATTTATTTTGTTTGTTTGTTTTTTTTTCGCGTTATTATTTGGGTCGTCGTCGTTATTGTCTGGCCGCCCCGTTTCACAAAATTGCCAGTCTTTAATTTTCTTCTCTAGTGGCTTTTCAGCACGGAATCATTGCACGATAAAATAAAAACAAACACACACACACACACAAACACGGCTAAACAATCAACAAGATGTCGAAAAAGAAAGAAGAATCTCGACACTCGCACGAATTTCAATTAAAATCCATCGTGCGCACAAACATTCATTGATAAATCGATGAATGGTGATACACAAACAACACGACCGACATTCGCACAACATTTCACAATTTCGCATGTTTGGCGTCTAATTTCGTTTCGTCTTATTCACATTGTCTGCATTTTTTTCCTTTCGTTTCACTAGATCAATTGCAATTTGATGCAAATTCGATTGATTTTAATTCAACTATTTGGTTTGCCTACTGTGCGTGTGCGAATCGTCGAATTGTTTATTTTGCTCTCGAGTTTGATGTTCTTATTGGCCCACACATTTGGCCTCTTTGACAAATTCTGATACACTCACTTCTTCTTCGTTTTTTTTTTGCTTCTCTCAATTACAAATTCTTTTATTCCATTTTCTTTTCACTTAACTCGATGTTTGTGATGATTTGCACACGGTGTTGTGATACAGAATGCAAAAACACATAGCTTGTTGCTTACACGACGATAATTCAACGATGACTGTGACTGAATGCGAACCAGAATTTAACGTGAATCCAAATCGAATTCACTTTGTGCTATGAAATACGAGCGAACGAGAGAGAGAGAAAACATTTTTTTTCTTTTTTCACAGCGACTACGACTGTTTCTATGTATCTTTTGTCATCATAGAAGTGGCCACACAAACACTAGTGCGTCGCGCGTTTTTATACACAAACGACGCACATAACACAATATAGTATACCGAAAGCGTTTGGCCAGGCGCGACAAAGACAAACACTACTACATGCTTTTCAATGGGCACGGTGATGATGAATGCGTTGCGAGTGCAAAAGAGAGCAACGTGTGTGTGTCTGTGTCAACGATTGACATTTTTAGTACATCGTTCTTTTGAATTTTTTCGGTTGAATGCCGTACTAAATATCATCGTTTGAAATGTCGTTTTTGTCATTTGAACTAGGGTAGTTTTGAGGGTTTTTCGACAGAAAATTGATCTTTTTAAATTTTTTCAATTTTTCATTGCTTTTTACCTATAAAAAATATTTTTTGCAATATAAAACTTCCAAACTTTTTCTTTGAAACTCAAACATTTTCCATATTTCATGGTCTAAACATATCGGACTTCGATTTAGATCGTCAATTCAACCTACTGGCGCCATCTATTGGAAGTCATTTTCATTTCTAACAGAACGTTTTAGCAAAATTCAAGCTCACACATGCGATGTTTATGTGCGTATGTGTTGGTATTTACCTCACCTCTGCGCCGATTCCATCGATTGACCTAGATATGAAGCCAACGGGAGGAGTCTCTACTCTCTCGACCACTGGAAATAAAATGTATGGCTATGCGTTGAAGAGGGGGAATCGAATGTCGTATTCGATTGGCGATTGATTCTAACGGCCTGATTTTGGTTGCGGTGCGCCCGTCAAATTGTTCTGCTGGAGTTGGCCACGACAACATAACAAGAGTCTTTTTTTGCGCAAATCAAATCCAAAGAAAAAATGCAAATTGATTTTTTTTTAAATAACTTATTCACTTTAATCCATTCAAAACGCATCATCCATTGCTTCTTGGCAACGTCGTTTTTGTTTGTTGCTTCTGAGCAAATTTTACATCGTTTTCTTTTTTTTGTGTTTTTCGTTTTTGTGTATGTTTTTGTTTCATTTTTGTTTCGTTTCGTTCTTTTTTATATGGTTTGGTCTTGTGACCGTCATATAAACATATCTATTAACTAACAATTGAGCAATTTGATGTGTTTTTGTCTTTTAAACTGAACATTTGTCACAATGCTTATTATTTTATACTAACAATTAGGCTTTTTTGCCAAAAAATTTCTAAACTACAATTGAAAATTGGCCTTAATCGAGTCGTCATATTAAAATCGTTTCGTACTAGCAAATAATGCTTCCGCTTTGAAACACCTAATATTAAGTGTGCCCTAGAATGTGCGTTTTCTCTGCGTTGACTCCGCGTAGTGCAACTTTCCTTGCGCAAAATATATGTTTCCTTTATTCAACATTCGATTGATGTCCTGTTCACGCATATACACTTGAATGAGCCCATCGCTGGATGCTGATGGGATCTCAGGACTGTGTTTCCAGCTCGTTGCCTTCGGTGGTGATCGCAATGTCCAATCCTTGTTGTTTTTGTCGTTCAAAAATTGCGTGTATGTGGGCACTAACGTCAGATCCGGTTCGAATTCGTCGCTGTCTTGAGTTTTCTTCGCATCTGGAATGAAATGTTGAGAAGATTTTGTAAGATTTGTTGTGAAATTCTTCGGATTTGTTGTGAAACTATGAATTTTTGTGGAAAATAATGGCATAAACAGATGAACTCTGTTTTTCAAACAGTCGGGCGGGAAAATTTTGTCAATGAAGAACGTTTCTCCATGAAAATGGCTCCAAAGGAAATAAATAGGCACGTCTCAATGGAAAAAAAAAGTCAAATCACACCATTTACACTTTCATTGAGTTCATTTCCGATCAAACGTCCAATTTTTGCTTGATTCAATTTTCCACAAAACTGTGCCAATTCTACCATGAATCTGTCTCTTTCTCTCTGAATCTCTTTTTCCATGCAACTGTCCCATTCCAAAAAAAAGAAGCTTTCAATCAAAGCAATGTCTACTTACCATTCGAAATGTACATATTGCGTAGATTATTGGCTGCGACTTGCATCTGAATGCATGTGGTCGATGCAATGGTTGAGTTGAGCGGCAAAAGTCTACTTTCAGCTTCAATCTCATCTGTCGCATCAAACAAGACTGAAGAGGTGTCAGACGATATCTCGATCAATTCGAATGATTCGGATGATATTGCTGGCTCTGGCCTGTCAATGACCGTTTTGTTCACAGCTCGATTTCGGTCGGACGCTTTGACTGTCGTATCAATTTCTGTGTCATTCAATGCTTCGATTCCC